TGTTGTTGTTGTTGTTGTTTTTGCTTTGGGTAAGAAATGAAGAACTTACAAAAAGCTAATTAGCCTTTATGCTGTGCAGCTATTTTGAACTGGGTTGTCTCTAAAAGCTAAAAGTTTATTACTGGTAGTTGTGTGGACTTTAATCATTACTTTCTGAACATTTTGTTAAAATGCATTCAGTGCTTTATGAGATATTTTGCTAACAGACAGTTGACTTAAAAAGTTAATGCCAAGATTTTAGGCAAAAATAATACACAATGTATCGTGCTGTAAGTAGCCTAGATATAATGAGTCTTAGCATTTACCACGTCATATTTTAGCAAAATATTCCTAAATAAGACTGAGCTATAACTAGCCTATTTATGATGTTTTTGTTGTTTTTGGCTGTTTTTGGTCATCTTGAAATAGCTCCGTAAGTTAAATAGTTGTAGATGCACGTCCAGTTGTTAATTGTTACTCAAAATTATTTTATAGGTAATATGTTTTGCTAACAGGCACACACAGCATTACCTCCTAATAGATTTTGTGCAATCTGTTGGCCTCGAAATATGTGTTGGGGATCAGTCTCACTTATACCTATAATTGTAATTGCAATAATTGTCAAATCTACACATTTCTTTTTTGTTTTTTAGAGCAGTTGTGGCAGCCATCTTGAATTGGTTTTCTCATTAGCTGGTAAATTAGGATAAAATAATTATAACACACGACTCTTACGTGAATTCTAACTGTACTCAAATTATTCAATTCGTGAAGGCACCGAGCTTTATAAATTTGTGACCAGCTGGGGTTTTTCACGTTGCCCATATTTTCCGACGGCACGTGAACGCAGCAGCCGCCCTCCGCCTGTCCATCCGCTGCTCGCCGGTCTGGAGTTGCGTTCAGGGAAGCGAAGCGTCATTCTCCTCCTTTTCTTCGATCCAGGGCGCGCGCATCACTGCCAAGACGCGACAACCAGAAGTTCACCCCTTTGCTTCGTTACTACGTGGGTCTCCTTCCTTCGACCCAGTTTCGTTTTCTCCTCTAGGCAACGCTCCTTTCCCCGCTTTTCTTGTTCTGGCTCGAGTCTCCAGCCGTGGCGTGGCGGACGGGCCAACACTCTGGGCGTAGACTTCGCTAGTCTCTCCGCTGCACTGACTGGTAAGCCTTTTAGCTTTAGCTAGCATGCTACTGTCTAATACTGTTTTTATTAAACAGTTTATTTTAAACGGTAATGAACGGCCTCTATTAATGGTTGTCTTCTCTTCWAGTAACCTTGGCATTCCTTGTATTTCTGGGTTTTAGCTAGTGATATATCGGAATATGTGTTGCTAATTGTAATAATGATGATGTATTTTAAACAACCCTTAAAGACTGATGGTTTTGATTCGGTGTCATCTTTTTGTCCCTGAGCCTCAGAGGTTTGTGTGGAAGCGGGTGGTGGGGCGGTGGCAGTAGGCTGCGTGATGATGGTCGTTCCACAGACCTGTTAGATGCGAAGACGAGCTATTAAATTATTCTGATTTGGTTCCTTTTCATTTAAAASACACACACGTCCCCTCGTGTGGCCATTTTGTCCGCCTTTTCCCCCTTAAGGTTTTTTTTTGCCCTCTCTTCTCGTCTCCCCTCCTCCATCCTCCGCTCCTATTGTTCTGTGATGGCAAAAAGTAGTGAGAGCCGAGAATTAAAAGAGAAGAATGTGCAGATTATTTCTTTTTTTCATCCCTGCAGCGCCTTACAGCAGACATGTCCTCAGATGCTCAAAGGACGGTGTAAAACTGAAATGTCATTAAGTGAGTTGAACACAGCTGGCATTTAATCAAAGGTGATTAATGTCAGCCTCCTCTAAAGTGATCAGCTATTGTGTTTTATGACTGCAGGGTCCATCAGACAGTACATCAGGATAAAGCAGACATTTCCTGAGAAACACAGTGTGAACRCTGACAGCTAAAGGATTCTGCTGAGTTTGGTTCAAAAACCTGATTTGCTAAAGTAAAACTTTGGCAGGGTTAATTGAAAGCTAAAGTAAACGATTGTTTCTAAAAGCTGAATTTGGCTGAGTGAAAGGCAGCAAAGTAGTAGTAAAAATGCTATAAGTAGTAGATAAAAGATATGATGAGCTGAATTGGGTAAAAGCTAAAACTAACAAACCATGAAAATACTAAAACAAAAGCTGAAACTAGCTAAACGTAAGCTATACTAATTAGCATAGTAGTAGCTACAAAGAGCGCAATATGACAAAAATAAATCAAAAAATATTGGGTAATGTTTTGAGGGGAAACCTCAGTGTTTTTCCATAAAGAAATTTGTCCTAAATAAAGTTAAATAATTTAAAAGGTATAAAAGTTCTAAATAAAAATATATTAAAAAAAAGTATGTAAGAGACTGTAAACATGAAACAGTCGGTGCTGGTTCATTCACAGTTACATCTGATTGTAGAGCAGCTGGTGTTCTGCTCCCAAAGCCTGGTCTAAAACATGAAACAAACCTCAGGTGTGCACATTTTCAAAGTTCAAGCTTCTTCTTGTCCCCTGAGGCGACGCAGACAGCAGCAGAGATGGTCCAAAGCTTTTTGTGTCCTCAGTGGAGATGGTTTGACCGATAATACCTGGTAATCCACCATGAATGTTGATGTCATCCATATACTGTACCCCGGCAACTAAAATGTGCTCTTTTAAGGCCTGGCCCTCTGGGGGCTTGGATTCACTCCATCAGTCCTGCCCCCCCCCCCCCCCCCCCCCCCCCCACACACACACACACACACACATTTTTCTTTTCTTTTCTGGTACATGGATGAACGAATGGCTGACTCACCGTGGTCACAGATGAGGCAGGAAAATGAAAGACCGGCGGCCGAATGCAATCATGTGAAAATAAATTTAGCTGCCAATAAATGGCTCGCTCTGCTTTAATGAAGTTAATTAAGAAGGATTTTGAAAGATTACTATGACTAGAGGCGTTCTGTATGTGGACAGGATCGGTAACTGATGCTAACTAAGAAATCCTAAATAACTGGGGGAACGTACGCAATGAATAGTGATGTCCAGATTTGTTTCACTTCAGCCTTTTGATGAACTGTAGAAATCAGAGTAGCTTTCTTTGTCCCGGGGAATGGACTGTAGTGTGTGTTTTCTTTGTTCACTGTGTGTGTTTTTTACTGGGTTGTATTGATTTGTGTCTTGTCTGTGTGTCAGAGGAGATGAATGTCTACAGTGTTGGTTTCTCACTGTGGTGAGAATGATGTGTGTTTGAGTTTGACCCACTCCTCATTCTGCAACGTTTGTTTGAAATAAAACACGAATCGTTACTTTATTGTTTGCCTCATATTTTCTGACTACTGTGCGGTGTTAAACCAAGTAATCATCAATGAGTTAACGTTGTCAGAAAASAAGATTGTTCTTGCGGCCTCAGAATTGGCCTTATTTTCTTAATTTTACTTTTTTCAAATGTGAGTTATGTGTGAAAGACATAAATCCACTATTTTGAAGTGATGTTCTGTGAAAAAATAATATCTTAGCTGTAGTCTATAGCTCTTCAAACAACCTTAGTTTGGAAAACAAGTTTAATTATAACCACACTTGACAAGCTAATAGCAAATACACGAACTGCTTTTAAATTAGAAAGACCAGGATTGTTTCAGGATGACCAAATCCACTTTGATGGTCTTTAATGATCTCAATATGACCACGATAAATAATAATTGCTCGTAACATTTGCAGAAAACCCAGCTTTCAGAATGGCTGTCCCTGTAAAACGTAAACATAAGTTCTGTCTTTTTGTTGTTATTTAGACATTTAAATTTGTCAGTGAGTAATGGGTTCATTTTGTTTTGAGGCGGTTACTCTTTATGTGAAGTGATTAATGTGCACCATTTGTAAACGGCCTCATCAGTCATCTGTGCCAAACATGATCAGGTTCGAGCCTCTCCGGAGTGAGAACTTGTTTTTGTCGTTACATTTAATAAAAAAAAAGAATTGAAATCAGAATGTCTATTTTTCAAATATACTTTAAAAYGTTGTTTCCTTATTACAAGACTTTTTAGGGTAATAAGAATTTTTCTGACCCATTTCGCCCTGAGCTGGCCTCTCGACCTGAGCTCCAGCCCTGAGAGGGGCGACGGCCGTTGCATTAATAGACCTTTGTGTCAGCTCACCCCGAGCCCAAGGGCTGCTGTTGGTGGGAGTGTGACTCACAATGAAATTCCCCACTCCATCCCTGAACTTTTCACTAGTGACAAGGGCGAGCCTGTGCCTCTGGTCATCAAGCTTTATTTGGCCCGAACCTGCGGCTCTCGCACTCCTCGGCGTCATTAGAAATTACCACCGTCCTCTATTTAATCCRTGAAAACAACTGCACAATAGTCTCTTGTTTGGAGATTATCTAAACACCAACAGAAACAGTTTGTTTGGCTGAATTTCCCTCTGCTCTCCGGSTGATTGGAGCCTAAAGGAAATGGCCGTGGGCACCGCTGTAAGTTTGCACGGGGAAGATAAAGCAGAGATAATCTTTGCTCTCGTCTCGATGGCAGCCACGCTCGGCGGTATCACAGTTGTCGGTGCGTGCAGTTGGCAACTGGTGGTGCGGTTTTGAGCCTGTGTTTGCCAGCAGCTGCAGTAATTTGCTGTGTTTGGACAATCTGAATTCCCCTGGTGGGAGGAGAGATAATGGACGTGGTTCGCAGCTCTGTTGCTAGGCTTCAAGACCAAATTTGCAATTATTTTCAAGGCTTTAAAACCTGCCTTTACTCTTTGCACCCAGGCAGTAGTGAAAGTGCAAGTCACTGGATCTGTTCACTGCTTTCTGTGAAGCAACGTATGTTGTAGATGTGGTGTTTCGGGGCCGGATGCATGTTTGTGATTTATTTGTTAAAATGGTTGATCGATTGATCGGGTCAGCCTTCTGACTGGCCTGCCATCCTGCGAGAGATCAGGTTCAATCTGGAACGTGCCTCGCTCCACTTCAAGCAGGAGCACATAATCCTCTTATGGACTCGCTTGTTCTGGTCGGTACTCTATGAGCGGGGGAGTCCACGCCGCCGTGCACAGTCTCCAGAGAGCACTGGAGCCACTCGGGCTAATTTTCCTCCATTCTGTCCAGATGCTTGGGCTCTGCCCGCCTCCTCCGTCTCTGTATCTGCTCGGTGTGATGTCACTGATCCAAGCCACCAGCTGGTCCGGGGCTGGCCTGATCTCATTTACCCCCAGAGAGGAGCTTGTTTGTGGGCAGACAGCCCATTATGGAGATGATCCAGTAGCTCTTCAAGTTACAAATTAGCTTTAGTTTCTCTGCAGGGTTCCTATTTTCTTCTTATCTTGTTTTTTTTTTTACTTTCTCTTTTTTTTTTTTACCATCCCACCTTTTTGTCATCTTGCTCTAAGACCTTGTGACTGTCTCCTTTATGTCCCAGGGGAGACAGCTAACAGCGTTAGCGAGACCTGCCTGACTAATGCACTTCCTCTGTCTGCATCTTTTCTTGTTCCTGCCATCTGTGGAGCTGCCTGCTGGACTCCCCACTTTCTCCCCTGCGATCAATATCCACAGAGTTTAGCTTAGCCCTGCCCTGCTGGTCATCGCTGCAGGCGGTGGAGCTCAGCCAGGCTGCAGTCGGGTCCTCGCAGTTGCTGTGGGGTGGGGGGTTTTGTTTGTAGTTTAGCACTGTTTCTACCCTTATTGTTTCATGGGCTGATAAAAACCTCTCCCCCAGCCTCCAACAGCATTGTCTGGTTTCTGGGACATACCGAGGCCTCTGATGCTGCTACATACAGTATACTGTACYTCCCTTGTTCCCTCTTGTCGCGCCTCTCTGCCACTCTCAATGTGTCTCTGCTGCGTGAGGACAGTCGAGGCCGACTGTACGAGATTAGCATCTGTCTTTGTCCAGGGTTAACGAGCTCTGTCATGTGTTAATCTGTGCGTCCCCACTGGACTGAGTTCCTCTGGGTCTGGGAAGCACAGAAATGGATTGTTTATGTGTTTGTTGTGTTCATCAGTTGTGATGTTTTTAAGAACAACACAGTGATTATGAACTTTAGCATAAACTCGTATTGTCTACCTATTGTCACAATCCTATCTATTGGTTTTGCTAATTTCAGATTTTATACCTGCAATAAATTCAGTTATCCCCCACCAATGGTTATGTTTGTGTGTGCGATTGTTACAAA